ATTTCTTAAAATTGGCCTGTTAAGCAGAGGAGGACCTGTCACTTACTGCTGTGCCTTGCTGTTCTCTTAGCTCCGTGCTGTGGGCCATGGTGATGCTTTGGGTACCACACAAAGGAAGTGCAGAACTGATGTTTGATGAAGGTGTGTCTTTACTACCTGTTGTAATAAAGTGTGGGCAGAGGCAATGCTCTGAGCTGTGCCCTACCCATGGGGGACACTGCGTGCACAGCTCAAAAACAGAAATGCTGCTGTTGGAGAGGCTTTGGGTTAGGCAGTGGGGAGGGCTGTGCAGAGGAGGGGCTGTCGTGGGGGTGTAGGTGACGTGTTTGCAAGTGCTGTCTTTCAGCTCCCCTGTCAATACAGGGTCTGTGCAGTCAGGAGCTGTTACCAGGCTGCACAAGGCACGTGCTCCTGCAGCCTCCAGTGAAAACTTGTGTCACGTAAATGGCTGGCATCTGTTCAGATTCTTACTGAGGAAATTCAGTGTTTATTGGAGAACACTGAGAGAGAAAATGGAGGTGTGGCTTCTAGAATCTTGGAGATGAAACTCCTCTGCTCTCTGCATTTTGCACTCTCTGTGCCTGCCATGCTGGCTTATTGAACTTCTGGTACAGGTGTGCTTTAAATTCATTGTGAAGGGATCTAAAGAAAACAGCACTGGATTAAACCAACCCTCGGGAAAAAAAAAAGAAGGTGATGTTTAAAAATATCCAAGTTGTCTGGATATAACTGTGCAAGCATACAGGCTGTAACTCTGTAAGATGCTAGCTGATGTAAACAACCATGTATCCTTAGAGGATTTGTACCAGAATTTTTCTGCATCTTTAGATAGGTTCAGTGAGTGACCTGCTGTCATTACTGTGATCAGTCATAGGCTCTCTCACAATGCAGGTGAAAATGAAGCTTGTTCTGCACTTAAAAGATGGTTCATGTTTTAGGGAAATGAGTATGAAATTCAAACCAATTGCTTAGTACTGGTCAAAATCTGACCAGGCAGCTCCTCCCAGTCCCTCCCTGCTGGGATAGTTCAGCTCCCCTCAGGTTGCTACAACCTCTCCTCGTTATGCTAAGGGAAAGATAACGAGAAGTAATTTTGAAGTTACATTGACACTGTTAAATTTGAAGAGGAATAATTTCCACAAAAGATACAGTGTTCAGAATATTTTCTGTGAAATTATTCACTGTCTTAGAGATACAGAACTGTGGTTATTTTTATCGCCTTTGGTGGAGGAAGACTTGAAGAACACCTTCAGAAACAGTCTGTAATTTCCTAAAGAACATTAAAACATTTCATAGATTGATATGTAATGGAAAAACTCAATAAATGCACAAATTTGCATGTCTAACTTTTTAGCTTGCAAGAAGCGAGCATCAAAATCAAAAAAATCATCAAAAGCAGATTTTTTGGGAAAAACCTTAAATACGTGAATATGTTTGTATCCATGTGGGTCTTTGTTGCCTTTGGACAGAGGAAGGGTGCTTCCAGTGTGAGGCATTTCCTTGGGCTTGGGCTGTTTAGATTTCCTGTAAATGTAGCAGGAGAAAAGATTATTTGGACAGTGATTTTTATGCTGTTGAGCTCTCATCTTCAGTGCACTGCAAGAGACTTGCTTGTCATTAGATCCTCTGCTGCCTGTAAAAGACAAAAATGTGGCTGCAGAGACCCCTGGAATAAGCAAGAGAGAAAATATTTTGACTAGAAAAATGAGAAATAATACCGGATAAAAGGTCTTGAAGTTCTCAGAGTGGTGGCTGTAAGGTTCAGCCCTGTGGCTCTTGTAGTCCTTCTCTCAGGTGTTGCAAGGTACATGTGTTGGCTCCCCAGCAGTGTGTGAAACGGCTGGGCATGGTCCAAAATGCTGCTAATCTGGTGTGTGTTCAGGACTGGGATGGAAGAGGAGCATTTTGCCTCATTGCTGAGTTCAGGAGAAACCTTGGGGGAAGGTGTTCTTTCTCCTACTCCCTCCCTGCCCCCCCTCCCCTTTTTTTATTTTTTGTGGTTTGGTTTGAGTTTTTTTGTTTGGGTTTTTTGTTGTTGTAGGTTTTGTTTTTGTTGTTAGTTTGTTGGGGGGTCTTGTTTGGAGTGCAGTGCATGCACTTCAAGTGACCAGTTCCTTTTGAAAGGGACATCTCGGTGTAATTGATATTACAGAATAATGGAAACACTATTCATAAATAATTCTGGAATTGTTGTTGCTTGTGGCTTGCTTAATCAAATTTTGGTCACCTGGACAATGGGCATCATAAGGGCACCTTCCCTACACTGCTGCCCCACTTACCTCATTTGCTGCCCAGAACTTTCTCATTTGGGGGCACACCCTGGTCTGGGCAAATTCTGGTGGTCTCTTCTAGACACAGAGAGGGGCTCTGGCTCTGGCTCTGGCTCTGGCTGTGCTGTGCTGACACTCCAGAATGTTTGTTTCTGCTTCCCATTACCAATAGCAGCATATTTCTAAAATGCCTGATCTGGTCAGAGCCAGTTAGTCCTACCCTTAGTATTTTCCAGGAGCACTGTCAGGTTCTGAATAGGAATATCTGGGAGCACCAGGTGCTGTTTTGAATTCTGCTTCCAAAGAAAAATTCCCTGCTTTGATTTCTTTGGCTTAGTGTTTCTATCTGGAGACATTGGTGAGTGACAGGTGTACATTTGGTAACTTCAGTCTTCTGACAAAAACTGATAGGAAGTTCTCAGTATCTTTAGCTTGGGATCAGGAAAGGTGGAGGCTTCACTCATTGCAGATCATAAAGTCTGGAGAGAAGAGCCTGGAAAACAGTCAAAAACATAGGGCCCTCCATTTCTGTTCCAGAGTTGTTTCAGATTAGAAAAAAAGAGGGAGGGGAAATAGTAATTTGTACTTCTGCATTTCACTGGAATTATTTTCTCCTTTTGTTTCCAGATATATAGAATTATTCTCTCTTGACCCCTAAATAGTAGGAGCAAATCCCAGAATCTTGCAGCCCTGAGCTTGTTGGTTTATTACTTCGGTTCAAGGCAAATTTCTTCTTTTAAAAAGATGCTGCTTCTGCCTGTGCAAGGCTGAGGGCTCAGATGTGAAACTCAGTGTGTCTTGCTGCTCTCAGCTCTACTAAATGCAAGTGCTGGTACCGAGCTAGGGCGAGAGGCATTACCTGTGTGCAACAGAGCCGTTCCCTGCAGGGCAAGCGTGGCCACTTCTCCAGGTGCCCGAGCTGTCGCAGCTGTGTTTGCTGAGCAGGGCCAGGTCTCTGCCAGTCTCTGCAGTGGACGTGCTCCGCCTGGCAATGGGGAGGGAGGAGACAGCGGTGTGGACTGCACTGCAGCACACTGCAGCACTCCTGGAACAAAGATCTGCTGGGCAAACAGGGCTTGTGTTGCTGCCGTGTGCTGACCGCAGCTGGGGGACAGGGCCCTGACACGGCATCAGCACCATGAGTGTTTCATGATACAACTGGCAGTCCTTTCCCAGGGGCTCTGCAATTAACAGGACAACTGAAGGATTAGTAAGGCACTAATAATAAATCTTTTGGACTAGTGAGCTCACCTCTGACATGAGGTTAGATGGGAGGTGCTGGCCATAGTCCTTTGTCCCTGGCTCTTCAGCAGTGAGAGTGGGGTGCTGAAGCTGGCCAGAAGGGAGTGGAGCTCTTGCTGCTGTCGGACCACAGCAGCCTCTTGGTGAGAAGGGGATGTTTCCAGCCAGTGGACCTGAGCTGTCTTGTACCAATGGTCTGCAGTATGGTCCTTGGTGCAGTACAGCAGAGATCCACATCTCTCCAATACTCTCTGCTGAGAGCTGTGCCTCAGGGTGTAGCTTGTGAGTACTCCTTCCAGGGAGGACTTGCTGTTCTTAGAGAAAACTGACATGTTTAAAACTTCATCAGAGCTTGTCTGTTTTGGTGCACGTACTCCTTTTGCTGTCAGTGGGCTTGGTTCTGGGTTTATGAGTGTTCTGCACCACCACACTGTCTGTATAGATGCATGAAACTGAACAGTATGAGGACTGTTTCTCCCTTACAGTTTTTGCTACCTATACCCTTAGCATGATATCAAGATTCATTTAATGTTCCCTATCCATGGAACAGTCCTGCCCAGCTTCACGTGAGCTGCATGAAACTTATCTCTTATGGGTCACAGGACAGAAGGAGCTCTGCATTTGCAGACTTCACTGACTGGCCCTATCCAGAGAATCATTGCCTCAGCTGATCTCTATGGCATTAGGTTCAGCAGTGGTCTGTTAATCTGTCTGAACCTCCCTGCTCCACTCTTCAAGCCTTAGTAGCTCTAGGATAGTGCTATGTCACAATGCAACGAGGGGAAAATCAGTAGCACAGCCCTGAGACTTCTGCAGGGACCAGAGGGCTCCAGAGTTGCACGGCTTTCCAGAGTGGTGTTACAGGATTGTCAGTGCCCATATACCAATTTTTGGTAGTTCTGTTTGTGGCACTTGGCTGAAGCTATTTTCCAAGAAAGAGAGCCTGCCAGGGAAGGAGCAAATGCCCTGTCAAAGGCTGCTTTTCCTAAGCGCAGAAGGAAGCAGAGGAGTCTTTTTCTTCTAGGTACCTTTATTGCATGATTGCAGGAGGCACACCAAGCTGAATTCAGGACTCTTGTAAAGCAGAGGAATGACTCTAAAATGGCAGATGTGACCCTACTCACATGCTCTCTGAACGGGTCTATTTGATTAGCGTTTGTGTTTTGAATGACTTTGCATTACTCCTAGCATTGTGTGCATACTGCTGGACTCACAAGGAAAGGGTTTGTCTTCTGCCTGCATTTTTCATTTTTCTGTCTGTTTTCTGTAAGGAAGTTCTCTGGAATTGCAGTCAAAGGGTTGCTGCAGGAAGTTGAAGAGCTAGGATACTGCAGGGCAAGTCTGTGTGTACATTTGCAAGCAGAGCAAATCTCCTCTCTCACTTCCAGGATAGCTGTTTGTGACTTCCTGTAATTGGCTGTCAAAACCTGTCAAAACCTGAGCTTCTTTTCCATGCAAATGTCCTTACTCTGACTTTCTCCAACCTAGATAACCAGTTCAGGATGTCCATATTGGAGCGACTTGAGCAGATGGAGAGGAGAATGGCAGAAATGACTGGCTCCCAGCAACACAAACAAGGAGTAGGAGGCGGGAGCAATGGGAATGGGAACAGTGGAACACAGGTGCAGGTATGTGTGTCCAGACACAGCTTTATGCTTGCTTTGCGGAGGGTTTTTTGGGGATTGGAGCTTGAAAAGGGTTATAGTTTGTCCTAAGTAACAAATCTGGTTTGTGGGTGTCTTAACAGCAGCTGGTTTTCAGTTGCATTTGCCACTGTCTCAGTACTTGTACAAGTGGAAGGCTGCCTGTTCAGGGCAAGCTGCAGCTCCTCTCCATGGTTAAACTGGGATGTGTGTGGTGTTTCAGTGCGTTTCTGGGACTGGGACCCTGGGCAGCTGCTTTGAGAGCCGCGTGGTGGTGGTGTGTGAGAAGATGATGAGTCGTGCATGCTGGGCGAAGTCCAAACACTTGATCCATTCCAAGACTTTCCGAGGAATGACACTGCTCCATCTGGCTGCTGCCCAGGGCTATGCTACTCTCATCCAGACCCTCATCAAATGGCGGTAAGACCCAGCCTGCTGGACTCTGGGGTGTTAGTACAGGCATAGCAAGATACAAAAACTCTGCTCAGTCCACATTTCTGTACTAAGAGCCAAGCCCCTGAACTTTTTCTAATCCCCTGATCTGATGGGACCTGTCTCTTGAGAGCAAGTCCAGTTGCTAGATGTATCATGCTCTTCATGTCTGTGGTGGGGGTCACTGTCTGTAGTAAATACACATGTTGTGGGCATGTGTGTGGCCTCTTCTCTGTAGTACAGTACTTTGGATAAATCTGTGCTTAGACAATGATCTTGACGTGGATACAGAGCATCATTCCTTGTCTTGTTTCCCCTGCAGCACCAAACATGCAGACAGCATTGATCTGGAGCTGGAAGTTGACCCTTTGAATGTGGATCATTTCTCCTGCACTCCTCTGGTAAGAGCAGGGTCTGAAGCAACTGAGAGAGTCTGAGGGCCCTTTGGGGAGTTCTTTCTGATGTTTTACTTTCCTAAAGTGTTTCACTCTCTGGAGAGTAGATGTTCCTGTGTGCTCCTGCTGTGTACATGGTAAGACATGGTACTGTCAGCTTCTTGGCATTTTGTTGAGAGAAAGCACACAGAACAAAACTTGGTCATTGAGAAACATGAAGAAAGGGAACAGACAAATGGTTCTGGTCAGTGTTTTACACAGAATCTAGTCTCCACTCTCATGGTGTGAAAAGGACTTTACATGCCTTCTTTCACATTGTCCTCTGTGACTGTTTAACTGTAGATTGTAAAGTTATAAACTTTCTTGGTCACTGGAGTAATGAAATCGTGACTGAGAACTTAGACAAGCAAAAAGCCAAAACGGATGGAATCAGACCTGCCAGTTTACAACTCAGAGTATTGATTTTACTGTTCCCAACCTTTGGTCCTATCTGCATGTTTCTGACCTCAGAGATTCCTTCTTGTATGAAGCTGTTCTGTCTCTGCAGTGATGTCAACGTCACAAAAAAAACCCCAAAACAAAACAGTGAGCTTTGTCAATTGGAGGTTTCTCCGTTGTAGGAGAGAATAGCATGTATCCAGTCCTCTCTATTGGCCTTTTGTTAGGTTGGGACATTTATAAAAGTAATCTGCTGGCTTTGAGCATGTCATTGTTTTATTTATCAGAAGAGTTTTTCCTTGAGCTGGTACCAGACTCTACTGCATTAATAAGAAAGAAGGCAGGTCTCCCAGTGGGTCAATTACCTTTTCTTCTTTAGATGTGGGCATGTGCCCTGGGCCACATGGATGCAGCTGTTGTGCTGTACAAGTGGGACCGCCGAGCCATCTCCATTCCTGACTCCCTCGGGAGATTGCCACTGGCCATTGCTCGGTCTCGGGGCCACGTGAAGCTGGCAGAGTGCCTGGAGCAGCTACAGCGAGATGAGCAAACTCAGCTTGGGCAAAACCCCAGGATTCAGTGCCCCTCGAGCACAGACTCCAACACAGAGAACTGGGTGTCCCAATGGCACAGTGAGCTTGTTGCCTCTCAGGAGCCTCAGAAGGGAGTCACAGTGATTTCCAGTACAAACACAGGTAAAACATCCTGGAGGGCATGCTCTGTTTTGCTGACACTTAACATGTGAAAATGTGGGGGCAAGGAGCTCACCTGGGCAGTGGGTGCCACCTGTAGCCTTGCTGTCCATGCTTAATTCTTTTCTTGTGCTCCATACACTTGCATAAGCATCAGGAAGAGGAGTGAATGCTCTGCTTTGGAAAGACTTGTGTATTTTAGGAGTGGTTGAGACAGTATCCTCCCTGGGTGGTTGTTACTCCCTTTGCACATCTTCTCAGGTGTCCATAGAGCACAGCACAGACTCCAGCCTGAGGCAGAAGCTGTCAACGTTCCTATAATAGTCGTGAGTTTCATGTTTAATTTTGACCATTGATCTGTTTGTTTGCAGAGCTGAGGCGGCCAAGATCAGAACCTTCCAGCTATTACAGTAGTGAGACTCAGAAAGATTACCCTGCACCCAAAAAGCATAAGCTGAGCCCTGAGTATTTTCAAGCCCGGCAAGAGAAGCTGCTTTCCACTGCACTGAGCCTGGAACAGCCAAGCATTAGGAAGCAGAACTCCAGCTCCAAGCAATCCTCCACTGAGACAATCAGCCCCAGTGAAGGGCTGAGGGACTATGGCCGGGAGCTCTCCCAGCACATCCCAGAAGTTACTGGGTACCGGGGCTCCGGCAGCCAAGCAGGCATCAAATGGAACCCAAAAGACATTTATATTGGTGTGTCTGCAGTGCAGGTGGCAGGGAGCCAGAAGGGCACTGCCCTGGGGAAGGATGCTGTGGCCCATCGGCTGCGCCAGCGGGAGCAGATGAATGTGTTGATGATGGCCGACAGGGAGATGGTGGATGCAGAACTCCTGTCCTACAGGGACAACGCAGGGGATGAGGACTGCTTACACCACATGGATGAACTGCAGGTAAACACACCCACAGCACCAAGATCAGCAGTCTCATAGAGCATGGAGGCTGCACAAAGGTTCCTGACTGTGAGAAAATCCCGTGGAGACCTCTAGACTGAGTTGTGCTTTGAGGAAGGAGGTGGTGACACAATCAATACATACTTTCTTCCAATTTCAATGCAGGCATAAAGGCTAATGGTTAGCTTTTAGGGTTGTACACTGGCATACTCTTCAACAGCATACAGAATGCACAAAATTGCAGTTGTGTAAGGAAAAAGGAAAAAGCAGAGGCTACATGCAGCAGTGCATGTGATTCAGGTGGCCCAATAGTTCGGTGGGAGCTGGCAGCAGTCCCTACAAAGGCATCTCAGCAAAAGAGCAGCAAAGTCACTTTTCCTTTGGAAATAACATACTAGTGACAGCTGTAAAGGGAGAGCCCAGAGAGCTTTCACCAGATCTTTTGACCTCCCCATAAAGGAAAGTAAGAGGTCCGGGGAATGTGAAACCCTGCAGTGCTTGGTTTGTTGAAGAGGCAGAAAAGCAAATGAGCACTGGTTAATGGATTTCTTTCCACCGCTGAGACAAACAGTAGACTCCAGCTTCCACAGGTTTGGGCAAAATGGGGAATTCTGTCTAAAGCTGAGCTGTAACATGGAAGAACAAGTCACCTACTACCAGGCAGCTAAGGTTTGCTGTTCTTTCCCCCTTGACAGGTGAACATGATGACACTTGCAGAGCACATTATTGAAGCTACACCTGACAGGATCAAGCGGGAGAACTTTGTGCCAATGGAATCGCTGCTGGCAGAGAGGACAGACAGTGCTGCCATGAGCACCACCATGAGCTGGCTGGCCAGTTACCTTGCTGACGTCGATCACTTGCCCAGTGCTGCACAGATCAGGTCAGTGGGAGCTGTGAGGTTGCTCTGGGTATTGGTGTGGTGTTCATGCTGGGCAGCATGTTGTGACTCTTCAGCCTGCAGTTCTCAGTGAGACTCAGTTCTGGTCTTGCAGGCCCAGGCACACTCTTGTGCTCTCAGATGTATTGTTGCCAGCACAGCTGCAAATTCATGGAATGAGGGTTTCACTCCAGCACCACATCTGTGCAGTGCAGGACAGGCAGGCTCAGGGGTGTGGGATGTTGCTTGGAGAAAGCGGGGGGAGCATAAACCTCTGCCTTGAACTCAGAAATGTTGTTTTCCTTATCTGTGATGCCAGCCCAAGTGCTTTGTAAGCCAATAATTCCTACTGTGATTGGTATTTCAGAAGTCTGTATAGTGAACCCCTGACCCCTTCTTCGAACACCAGCTTGAGCCCTGCAGGCTCACCAATCAGTGAAATAGCTTTTGAGAAACCCAGCCTTCCCTCGGCAGCAGACTGGTCTGAATTTCTGAGTGCATCCACCAGCGAGAAGGTAGAAAATGAGTTTGCACAGTTAACTCTGTCTGATCATGAGCAGAGAGAACTCTATGAAGCTGCCAAACTCGTCCAGACAGTATTCAGGAAATACAAGGTATGTGGCCCAAATGTCCAGTGTTTTCCTTGATGGATGTGTGAGAGACAGTATATAATTTGTTACAAACCAAAATGTGGGTAATACTCACTCCAGGGACAAAAACAGAGTTTCTGTCACAACCTTTCCAATGTTTCTGACATTTGCTTGTTGATGTTTGCCCAACAAATACTGTATGGGGAGTGCATGCCATGCCATGGCACACCTGCTGTGCCAGAGCAGCACTCACAAACCACATCCTCAAAATGCACCCCAGAGGTTCTGCTTCGTTGGCCATTTGATGTAAAGATGCATTTTGAAGGTTTGTTCCTTATGTGAGTTGACAGCAGAGGCATCTCCAGGAAGTGCCTGGGCGTGATTTGGACCAGGTAGCATTGACAGGAGAGGTTTGCCCTGCGAGCAGCTGGGAGCCACGTCACCTGTCCTGGGTTTTGGTGCACTCTGACTGATGCTGCTCCTTTCTCTCTCCACACAGGGTCGTCCTCTCCGGGAACAGCAGGAGGTGGCTGCTGCTGTTATTCAGCGTTGCTACCGAAAGTACAAACAGGTAATCAAAAAAGTGACATTTTATGAAGCACATGTAAGTGCCATGAACACACCCTGGTGTAGTGGGCGTTGTCCCACTGCTCCTCTTGTATGCTTTTCAGCCTGCTGTAATGAAATACCTTGCTCAGGCAAAATTGAAAAGAGAAGAAGATTCATGTTCTGAATCGTAGTTTTGGAGGGAATCCTTGACATTTGTTTGTGATAATGCCTGTGTTTTTGCTGTGAGATGGACAGCTGTGATGTATTCTATATTGGTCTTTATGCATGCTACAGCCTGAGGAGACTATTCTCTGACAAGTTGCTTGCCAAATTTCATTGTGAAATTGAAGTTGGTTTTGCCTTTGATAAAGGTGAAGGTGAAAAATAGGTTGTTTTATTTTGCACATACTAAACTTGTAAACTATGGGAAGTCACATGTTGTAGCTTGATGTGAGTTTTTCCAGGACTGAGGCTGTTTTCCAGACTGGTTGGAGAAATGTTTTCAGGCTGAGTTCTCAACCCCAGGAAAAGAAGATAACTTTCCTTTTTTGTTTTCGATTGGGGTTTTTGTTTTGGTTTTTTTGTTGGTTTTGTTTGGTTTTGGGGTTTTTTGGTGAGGACTAGAGCCTACATCCCTCTTTGCACTCTACCCTGCTAGACAGTCTGTCTAATGCCTGGCAGTATGTTAACAGAAAGTGAGGCAAGGCAAGTTGTGCTCTTTTACAACCCTCAAAAAAGATTTATTTGGGAAGCCTTTCTAGTGTTAGGTGACTGCATTGTGGTTCACATCCAACCCATCATATGGATTTCATTCTGGAGTGATGCTTCCTGTAGTAGGGAAGCTTAATTCCTTTCAAAAACTGCTTGACAAATTGCTTTGTCTTGGATCCTGGAATCGCTTCTTTTCGAAAGAAGATTGTTTGGGTCTTTTTGTTTTGATTTCTTTTTTTTTTTTTTTTTCATTCTTTATTTGCAGAACTAACATTAACGATGTATTTTTCTGTTTCTCCCCAAGCTTACTTGGATAGCCTTGAAGGTAATACAAATACAAACACTATTTTGGAAACAGTTCCCCCTGGGTCACTAACTTGCACACTCAGTATAAACAAGGAGAACCTGGCATTTTGGAGAAACTTTTTAGTACTATTTACTAATAAATGCCTGTGGTTGAGAAGTCACTGTCAAACCAGACTTTTCTGGGAGTTGTGTAGGGACTGCTGTGCCACAGTTGTATCAGTTCCCATGAGCAGGGATGGGCTGAGCTGCTGGGAGGATTTTGCAGCCAGTTTCCAGAGGACAGGCTTTCCTTTAGTGCTCCTGATCAGCTGTCACTTGGTGACCTTTGCCTTGGCATTTGGGGAGCACAGAACATTCATCCCACCTGTGAGCCAATGTCCTCTGCATTCTGCTTGCCTGCTGAAGTATTTTGACCATTCATCTTTGAAATACCTGTGTGCTGAATTCCTAAGGCCAACATCTCAGTACATTGCTGCTCATGCTGGAGGCACAACTGTTGATGCCAGTCTTAAACTGTTCACAGTCAATAATTCTCTGCTGTAAAGATGAGTTTTCCAGCTATGCAACATCTTGATCTCATCAGATTCTAGAATCAACTGAGCTTTTCTTAGGGATTCCAGGAGGCAAGATGTGCTTTTCCTGGAGTGAACATGTCCTTGGGGTGATATTCCATCCACAGCTTCCCCCTGCCCTGTGGTTTTGTTTTTGGCTGAGAACTGTTCTGTCAGCACAAGTGGGTTGAGCTCTGGGACACTGAGCTCACCAAGGCTTTCCTGAATGGGGAGGAGTTTAGGTGACATCTCCACTGATCCCCTTCCCAGAAGGAAGAAGGGAACAAGAGGAGGACAGGGCACAGCTACTCAGGTCTTAGAGTTGCATGCAAACATATTGGTGTCTGGTCTATGCAGTGACTGCTGATTTCTCTTTCACTTTCCTGTTCCTCTGATCTGTTACTGCACTGATCAGCACAGGTTTGTGGCTGGATTGGAACAGTCACAGCTCATGGCTCTGTTTTGTATTTGAACCCTTCTGTTCAGGGGTTTGTAACTCAGCCACAGAATTCCCATCTGGGCTAAAACTTTGAAGGAAAACCATTACCAGCCCATGAGTGGACTAATTTAAAACAGCGAATTTAAAATCACAATCTGATCCATTAATTTTAAAATGTTAAAAACAAAAAAAGAAGGAAACAAAAAAACCAATAGAATTTAATAATGGCAAAATATAACTGCTCCTAATGACTGCTTCAATTCCAAAAAGTGAAATTTGGTAAATGGTGGTCTGTGATGATATCGGAGGATTTTTTGCTTTGGGACTATGTTGGGAGGGTTGGTTGTTTGCTTTTGGAGTTTTTGGTCCCAGCAGAGTGGAAAATACTGAGCTATGTTAGGACATTACCCTGTACAGGGCAGTAGCTGCTTCTCGTCTGTCTGATAATCAGAAGTCAAAGCTGATGAAATATCCAAGAACAATAGACACATCAGTTTTGAAAGTATTAAAACTTAGCAAAATTAGAGCAAACATTGAAAACCTCTGTTATAGTAGTATGAGTGCAACTTCTATACATTATTCTACATTTCCATCTTACAAAGGACTTAAAAATATGCATGAATGCACATGGTTTCTGTTAAGTGGTCATCACCTTGCATGCTTTCACAGAGGAAAAGGATGTAGAATAAAGATTTTCTTTTTAAGAGTTTGTGCCTGCTTTACTTGGGCTAGAAATAATGCAGTGCTAGATGGAGTTTGGGAAGTGTGTGACTGCTCACGCAAATTTGTGAGTTCATTGGATGCTTGTTACAAATTTCTACTGAAATTTAGTTTTGCCCGTGTCTCAGGCTCAGTATTAGACTTATAACTATTCTGGTTTTGGGGGTTTGTTGGGGTTGTTTGGTTTTTAAGAAAGATATTTGTTGCAATAAGACAAGTGGCAATGGTTCCAATCTAAAAGAGGGTAGGTTCAGATTAGATACAAGGAAGACAGTTTTTACAATGGGGCTGGTGAGCCACTGGCACAGGTTGCCCAGAGATGTGGCAGATGCCCTATCCCTGGAAACATTCAAGAGCAGGCTGGATAGGGCTCTGAGCAACCTGATTTCCTTGAAGATGTCCCTCTTCATGTTGGGGGAGGTTGGACTAGACGACCTTTAAAAATTCCTCCCAGGGCAGTTTATTCTGTGATTCCATTAATCCAGTTAAACTATTCCACAGGAACAAAATCAGATAGTTGTTTCCTTGATGCAGGTTAAGTTCTGTCCCTAATCTTACAGTTGTTCCAGTTTGCTGTCACCATTTCCTTACACAATTCCCAATCAGGGAATAGATACTCACTTACTTCTCACCACGTGTTAGGGACTCAAGTCTTTCACCATAGGGAGCCTGCTTCTTACTGGTCTTACTGGGATGCCTCAGCTTCTCTTTGTTTCTGTTGTAGTATGCACTTTATAAAAAGATGACGCAAGCTGCCATTCTTATCCAGAGCAAATTCCGAAGTTACTATGAGCAGAAAAAATTCCAGCAGAGCCGACGAGCCGCGATGCTGATCCAGCAGTACTATCGCAGCTACAAGGAGTGTGGCAAGAGGAGGCAAAACCGTCGGGCAGCCACCATTGTCCAGCAGAAACTCAGGTGAGCCTCAGGGGTTTTGATGCTGTTAGGATCTTTATGTATTGTTTTTATGCTCTTAGAGGCTGTGCTGTGCTTCACAGACAAAGGGCAGTGGGAAAAGGACTGTGGTTTATAGGACAATTATTCTTGCATTTAGTAGTATTCTCGCCAGTTTTGCCTACACTTCAGTGTTGGGGTTTTTTGTGTTTAGAAGCAGTCTGCTTACCAAGAAGCAGGATCAAGCTGCTCGCAAGATTATGCGGTTTTTACGACGCTGCCGCCACAGGTATGACACTGTCTTTTGGTATCTGCCTTTCCTTAGAGCAATGTGAAATATTCGAGTGTGTCTGCAATGAGTGCAATGTAAATATAATAGAACCAGCTCACTACAGATCTTTTAATCAAAGAACAAAGCTGAGCTGTTTCCAAGATGCACTGTCAAAAATGAAATCTTTAACTTAGGACTGTTGCTGAAAGAGAATTGTGTACAGCCCAGGTCGTTCGACTTTTAAAGCTGGACTTGAGGATGTCTAAAAAAAATCTTGTTAAATCATAGCTACAGCTTCTGAGTGCCGCCCAAAAAACATTCATGGTATGTGGGAAAGTGCAAAAAGTGATGACATCTGGTGTGTGCTGGAAATGCCTTTAGTTCGGTCACAGAAGCATTTGGTTGGCTCTCCTCAGGTGCGTGTTCTCTCCAGTGTGAGTAGGTGGCATGTGGCAGCAGAGCAGCACAGGTTAAGTCACGTCAGCCACTCCACAGACACGAAGATGAAGCAGCTCCTGCCAGTGTGGGAACAGCACAGGCTTGCCAGAGTGCTTCCCTGTGGCAGCCAGCACTGCCATACCAGCAGGGTGTGTGCTGTGGTTTTTAGCTGAAAGGATCCCCTATATATGATCAAGGTGCAGACTGGGACTTTGCCTAGACAATGGTGAATCGTGATGTTTCTGACTCTGCCCCCTCCATTCTCACTACCCATGCATTTCATCCACTCAGGAGCTGGTCACACCTGATGCATTTTGAAGCATGTTTAGTTCAGTCCAGTGACATTTAACACGGAGAGCTCTTAGAGGCATGTGATAGGCTCCTGATTTCAGAAACAGACTCAGTCTTTGTTGCAGGATTTCAAAGCTGCACTTGCAGGAGGTCAGCGTGGCTCATGCTGTAGAAGTACATCTTAGCTGCAGGTTCAGTGGGAAGTAACATGTGGGAACAAGAAAAAGGGCTTTGTAGTTCCTAGGCTGATTCCAAGTGCTCTTGAAACAACCAGGCATTGAAGAAGCACAAACGACTTCTTACTTCTGGCAGGGCATATGGAAGAGACCAAAGGGGTTGTTTTGTTACGTTTGTTGTGCAGCATGTCCTGGAGGTTCAGAATTTCTATATCCTCTCAGATCTGCTTGAGATCCAGGCAGTCCCTGGGGGAGCCACGTGCTTAGTTTCCATCCAGGGGGTCTCTGGGGTCAGCCTGAGAAGCTCTTAGAGTCAGCTCAGACACAGGCCCAGAGAATGCCTCTGGTCTGGCTGTGTCCCTGGGGTTCCCACCAACACCCAGGATGTGCCATGCACTCCAAACAGGGCTCAGTTAAGACTCCAGCTTGAGTAACACAGACTCTGCAGGGCTTTAACTCCCGTGATTCCAACAGTTCTTGACTTCAGCTTGTTGCCTTCCTCTTCCTCAGTGTCTCTTCTTCCCTTTGTAGAGAGACCTTGCTCATTTGCACCACTGAAGGCTAGACCCAGGGTCAGTCTCCTCTCTCCAGCAGCATGGTCGCTGCTCTGAGTATCCCTGCAGGATGGGTTTAGCTCTTGGGGAGTTCCAGACCGAAATTCAGGGAGGATTCACTGTCATTAGACTCTCTCTGGCTCACATCACATTGTGCAGTGCTTGAATTTCTGCAGCAGTGCAGTCCTGTCCACAGGCACTTTGTCACTGGTTGTGGTTGCTTGGGAATTTGTCTGTGGTTCTTGGCTAGGATGCAACAAAAGGAAAAAGTGACTTGGCTCCACTGAAGATGTTAACTGTGTTTCAAAACTTTGCCTTGCTTTTCCTTCTAAAATAGAAATGATCACAGTGTTGTGGTTACATATTTTCTCCAAGCAGTCATAAGAGTTTAAAACTGCGTTAGTGTAACTATTACTAATATTGACAAATCTGAACAGGAGCATTGTGGCATTGGTAAGTGCTAAAAGTGAAAATAAGACTTACCAAAATGACAAAATGAGCATTCAGAATCTGCTTGAAAAATACGTAATTTGTCAGATTTATAGAACTGTTTAGAAATGTGACAGATTTGTCTCGTTCCCTGTTTTCCTCCTGCTAGCTAAAAAAGCTCTAGCAAGCAGGAAAGCATTTTCCAACAGAGTGTTGAAACACTTCATGCTCTGTACACTTGGGCTGCATCTGTGTTCCTGGGGTCACACTGCTTTAGTGTCTCACAGATCCTCAGGCTCCTCTGGTTGCTGGAACCACACAGATCTGGTGCCTCTGATCTCTGCAGTCAGTGACAAAGACCAAGCAAATCAGGTTCTTAGAGCTTTATTACCACGCAGGATTTTGAAGGCAAATTAGAAGCCTTTTGCTTGTGTAAACAGCTGTAAAGGAAAATATAATACTGGAAATTACACAGATCATCTACTTTATACAACAGAACTTCACTTGCTCCAGCATCTCAGCTGGCTCAGACTGACCTGTTTGCTTCTTTGCTCCGTCCTTAGGGGCAGATCCCTGTGCTTCCCCTGGCACAGCCATATCCTGGTAAGAGCACCCAGATCCATTCCTTCCCAAACCTGGCTCTGCAATCCTCTTTCTTAGCTGCCTCGTGGTGCAGGCACACTGGGGTACCAGGTGGAATTGCTTCCTTCTCACCTGCTCTTCCTCCAGCTTTCTGAATTTTCTTTGTGTCTCAATAACAACATTATTCCTCCCTGCTTGACTTTTCTTGCTTACCTTTTCCTAAGGGTAGAGTAATAAAGTTTAGGATGCTAAGTAAGTTTCAGATGACCTCTGTGCAAGCCTCCTGGTTACATCCCTTCAGTCTCCCATGTGACACTCACACAGGGTACAGCTGATGAGGATGGGACTGGTACTTGGGCTAAGAGCCCCACACACTCTTTCTGCTTGTTGAAATCTTGTTGCAGTCTTCTCCTGTGTTACTTAAAATTAGCACACTGCTGCTATAAACAAGAATTTAAGAAAGCCCTAGTGTCCAGAAAGAAACACTTCAGCCATCTAAGCTTCTGAAATCCAGGAGTGAGCCATAACAGCTAATACCCAATGCTAGTTAATGCTCTGTAGTATAAAAATGACATTATGAAGCCACTTTTTAAACCACAGTGCCTTGACAGTGCAAGGGATAGAAATGAAAAATATTTTTGGAAAATCTGAGGGAGTGAGAGAAAAGAGAGCATGCACGGGAACGTCAAACAAACAGCATCTTGGAGCAGATTTCTGCCAGTTGATAGATCTGGGGGAAGAGGCTGCAAAAGCCAGTAGCAGTCTGTTGTAAGGAGAGTGAGCTAAGTGAGAAGGCAGTAAATGCTTAAAGTTCAGAAATTCAACCTTTGAAAAATTGAATGGTTTAGCCTAGATTTTTGTCCATGAGCAGATTCTGTTGCTGAGCCAAAAACTTACACTCAAGAGCTTATTCTGTAGTCTTTAGGTGAGATTTATTCAGGGTTTCCCCTGGCAACTGTCTGCTTGGTGGGGTTTTTTTCCTGTTTAAAATTGATCCAAGTCTACTTTAAGCCAATTATGAGAATTCTGTTTGCTTGCATTCAGAACAGTTTAAACGGTCATCTTGTCCTATTTTACTTAATAACTTTTTGGCACAAAGGTTTAGTATCTCAAATGTGACTTTGACCACCTCGAGGATCTGATCTCCTGAACTTAATGTTTGTTGCTTGACCAGAAGGTATTTCAGGTGTTTTGGGAGAGTTAATGCGAGGTTCTGCAGTTGGAGCTCTCAGTAGTGGAGATGTAGATGAAAATCAGAAAATACATAAGTTTTAGTTGAATATACTCTTAGAGAAGATATTAGAACTGTAGTAGCTGAGTGTCATGGAAACAAAAGGGATCATTCATCAGCAGGAGTCATTCTGACTGTCAGACATGTATTGTTTCCTTTTGACTTTGAACAGAACCCCCCATATTTATCCATCTATTCTCATATTCTCAAAAATCTGGTGAAAAACATTCATCAGCATAACACAGTATCAACATGATCTGTCACAGAAGTGTTGTTTGTTGAGAATGAGAAACAGAAGCTTCCTGGTCTCCCAGGAGAGCTTCACCCATCTCCCCATGGTGCCCAAACCTGTCAGCTTGTACTTGGTTAACTTCCAGCCTAAAGCTTGCCCCTAACACCTCCTGTGAACTGAGCTGCCTCCAGGCTCACTGTCCTGAGGCAGAACCAAAGCTTTGCATAGTTAATGATTTTGGAAAGACTCCACCTACTTAGTGACCCCCAGATGTGACACATCTAGAGCTGCAAGGAAATCCAGGAGCTCCGAATGGGTTTGGATTTGCTGAGCTGAACTCATGTATGGTACAGTCAGCTTGCACTGGGAAGGTAACCTCCTATTTCCTATTCTTTCTCTGATTTGTAGGAAACTTTTACTCCTCTGGGGGGTATCTAGACCGTTGCTAAGATGGAATTACGATCTGCAGTATTTTCTATGGAGTAGCATTTGGAATGAGATAGAAAAGAGGTGATTGCTGCCAGGGAAGGCAGGATGCAGCTAGAAATGCCATGGGGATGACAGTGTTGGGTTTTTTTTACTTGCTTATAACTTTCTGCCCTAAAGCACCTAAACACAGGACTGCCCTTCCCTGTAAAGAGGAGTCCCTAGGCAGGAGTGGGAAGGGTTCTTTCTCTCCAGGCAAGCAGAAGTGCTGTCTCCTCCTCCCTGAAGTGAAGCTCTGGGTAAGGTACAGTTGTTGCCATGTGTGTCTAATGGCTCTTTGGTATTGTTTTGCACTCTGAAGCCCTCTGGTGGACCATAGGCTGTACAAAAGGGTGAGTGTAGCTGCCTGCTAGCCAGTTCCTCTCTTCCATTTTAAATATATTTGCTTTCTGCTTGCTTGCATGGGGCTGCGGCCGAGATATGCCAGTAAGTTTCACCTCCATTAATTCTATGAAAGAATCTTGTATAAACTAACCCTACTGCAATGACTAACACTGCTGCTTTTGTAACAGGACAGAGCTCTGCAGTAGATGTTACCAGTGCATGAATGTGTGAAAAAGGACATGTATATTCATCATGGGCATGCTTAGATGGTGTTG